AATGAAAAAAGCCTTATATAATCATGTACTAGTAAGTCATAACAGAGGTCAAAATCTAGAACGCTTAATTGACCTCAAATTCAAGGCCTTGAATCTAAATCAAAAGACCCGAGGTCTATAATATGTATGGTAAGAGGTTATCCTAAATGTACCTAACAGCTTATTTTGAGTACATAAGGAGTTAAGAATCATATCTAAAGTAACCAGTGCAACTGAATGTCGCAACTTTAATACAATTTGACAAAACCCCTTTGTTGATAACCTTTACGATTTTTGAGGATTGAAAGCAAAGTTCAAAATTTAAAACATGACAACTTCTTAATGACCAAGGACCTCATGTTAAAAGATTTTATGCTTTTTCCTTTAAAGCTTAGGGTTTATGTCAAACAAAAAAGGGAAATAGCCCTAATTACATGTAACCGGACTGCTCTGGTCTAAATTCAACAGAACAACATGTGAAAGTCAAGAGCATTTTGGAAACAAAAATACAACAATACATTCAACGGTTTTTCAATAGACGCAAAATCAAGAAAACCAGTATGTGGGTAGATAGATACCGTGCATACAGAAAAGTGTCCGGTTCAAAAGGGTGAGTTTCAAACTCGCAATAAAAGTTCAATTTAATTTACCAAATATCATATCGACATGTTCCAAAACGAAAGAGATATTTCGAAAATAAAAGTGGCGGATTGATTGTCCACTAGGAGCAGTACTGACTTCGGCTGTGATTGTCCCCTAGTAGCGGTACTGGCTTGTGTATTGATTTTCCACTAGCAGCGCTAGCGGTACTGACTTGGGCTTTGATTGTCCACCACCAGCGAAACTGACGCTGGTATTGTCCATCAACAGCAGTTCTAACTCGGGGTTGATTGTTTACTAGTAGCGGTACTGACTCAGGTATTTATTGTCCATCAGTAGCGGTACTGACTCGGGTATTGATTGTTTATCAGCAGCGGTTCTGACTCGGGGTTGATTGTTTACCAGCAGCTGTACAGACTCAGATATTGATCGTCCTTCAGTAGCGGTACTGATTCTGGAATTGATTGTTTATCAGCAGCGGTTCTGACTTACGGATTGATTGTCTACCAGCAGCAGTACTAACTTGGGGATAAATTATCCACCAGCAGTGGTGCTGACTCGGCGATTGATTGTCCATCAGTAGCAATACTGACTCCGAATTGATTGTCCATCAGTAGCGGTACTGACTTACGGATTGATTGTCTACCAGCAGCAGTACTAACTTGGGGATAAATTATCCACCAGCAGTGGTGCTGACTCGGCGATTGATTGTCCATCAGTAGCAATACTGACTCCGAATTGATTGTCCACCAGTAGCGGTACTGACTCGAGGGTTGATTGTCCACCAGCAGCAATACTGTCTCAGGTTTTGATTGTTCACCAGCAGCAGTACTGTCTCAGGTATTGATTGTCTACCAGCATCGGAATGATTCGGGGGATTGATTGTCCATCAGTAGCAGTACTGGCTAAGGTATTAATTGTTAACAAATAGCGGTACTGACTCCGTTATTGATTGTCTACCAGCAGCGTTACTGACTCGGGGATTGATTATCCACCAGCAGTGGTGCTGACTCGGCGATTGATTGTACTGACTAGGGATTGATTGTCCACCTGTAGCGGTACTGATTCGAGGATTGATTGTCCACCAGTAGCGGTACTGACTCGAGGATTGATTTTCGAATAGCAGCGCTACTGACCCAGGGATTGATTGTTCACCAGCAGCAGTACTGTCTCAGGTATTGATTGTCTACCAGCAGCGGAATGATTCGGGGATTGATTGTCCATCAGTAGCATTTCTGGCTAAGGTATTAATTGTTCACAAATAGCGGTACTGACTCGGTTATTGATTGTCTACCAGCAGCGTTACTGACTCGGAGATTGATTGGTAGGTACCGACTCAGGTATTGATCGTCCATCAGTAGCGGTACTAACTCGGGTATTGATTGTTCATCAGAAGCGGTGCTGATTTAGGGATTGATTGTTCACCTGTAGCGATACTCACTCGGGGATTTATTTCCACCTACAGGGGTAAGTACTGAATCATGGATTCATTGTCTACCAGCAGCGGTTCTGACTCAGGGATTCATTGTCTACCAGCAGCGGTCCTGACTCAGGGATTCATTGTCTACCAGCAGCGGTTCTGACTCAGGGATTCATTGTCTACCAGCAGCGGTCCCGACTCAGGGAATCATTGTCTACCAGCAGCGGTTCTGACTCAGGGATTCATTGTCTACCAGCAGCGGTTCTGACTCAGGGATTCATTGTCTACCAGCAGCGGTCCTGACTCAGGGATTCATTGTCTACCAGCAGCGGTTCTGACTCAGGGATTCATTGTCTACCAGCAGCGGTTCTGACTCAGGGATTCATTGTCTACCAGCAGCGGTTGTGACTCAGGGATTCATTGTCTACCAGCAGCGGTTCTGACTCAGGGATTCATTGTCTACCAGCAGCGGTTCTGACTCAGGGATTCATTGTCTACCAGCAGCGGTTCTGACTCAGGGATTCATTGTCTACCAGCAGCGGTCCTGACTCAGGGATTCATTGTCTACCAGCAGCGGTTCTGACTCAGGGATTCATTGTCTACCAGCAGCGGTACTTACTCAGGGATTGATTGTCTGCCAGCCGCGGTGCTGACTCATGTATTGTTTGTCCATCAGTAGCTGTACTGACTTAGGAATTGATTGTCTACCAGCAGCAGTACTGACTAAGGTATTGATTGTCTACAGGAAGCGGTACTGTCTCGGGGGTTGATTATCCAATTGCAGCGGTAATGTCTCAGGGGTTGATTGTCCACCATCAGCAGCACTGACACATTGTGTACCAGCAGCGGTAATGACTCGGGTATTGATTGTCTACTAGCAGCGGTACGGACACTGGTATTGATTATCCGTCAACAGCGGTACTGACTCTTGTATTAGTTGTTCTTCAGCTTCGGTCCTGACTCAGCGATTGATTGTCTACCAGCAGCATTACTGACTCGGTATTAATTGTTCATCAGTAGCGGTACTGACTCCGGTATTTTTTTTTACCAGAGCGGTACTTATTCGGTTATTGATTGTCCACCGGCAACAGTATTTACTCCTTATTAACTTCTATCAGCAGCAGTACTGACTCGGGGATTTATTTCCACTAGCAGAGGCACTAACTCGGGGATTGATTCCCACCAGCAGCGATAATGACTCAGGGATTGATTGTCAACCAGCAGCGATAATGACTCGGGTATAGATTGTCAACTAGCAGCAGTACTGACTCGTGGATTGAATGTTAACCAACAGCGGTACTGACTCAAGTATTGATTGTCCATCAGTTGCGATACTGACTCAGGTAATGATTGTCTATCAGCAGCGGTACTGACTCAATGATTGATTGTTCACCAGTAGCGTTACTGACTCAGAGATTGATTGTCAACCAGCAGCAGTACTGATTCAGGTATTGATTGTCTACCAGCAGCGATACTGACTCAATGATTGATTGTTCACAAGTAGCGTTACTGACTCAGGGATTGATTGTCCACCAGCTGCAGTACTGACTCAGGTATTGATTGTCTACCAGCAGCGGAGTGATTTGGGGATGGGTTATCCATCAGTAGTAGTACTGGCTAAGGTATTAATTTTCACCAGTAGCGGCACTGACTCGGGGATTGATTGTCTATCAGCAGCGGTACTGACTCAGGGATTGATTGTCTATCAGCAGCGTTACTGACTCGGGGACTGATTGTCTACCAGTAGCGGTACTGACTCGGGGATTGATTGTCTATCAGTAGCGTTACTGACTCGGGGATTGATTGTCTATAAGCAGCGGTACTGACTCAGGAATTGATTGTCTATCAGCAGCGTTACTGACTCGGGGATTGATTGTCTATCAGCAGCGGTACTGACTCAGGGATTGATTGTCTACCAGTAGCGGTACTGACTCGGGGATTGATTGTCTATCAGCAGCGTTACTGACTCACAGATTGATTGTCTATCAGCAGCTGTACTGACTCAAGAATTTATGGTCTACCAGCAGTACTTACTCGGTGATTGATTGTGGACCTGCAGCGGTACTGACTCAAGGATTGATTTTTCACCAGCAGCGGTACTGAATTGGGGATGCATTGTTCATTAGTAGAGTTACTGACTCAGGAATTGGTTATTGTCTGCCAGTAGCGGTACTTACTCGGGGATTGATTGTCCATCAGCAGTGGAACTGACACATGGATAGATTTTACACCAGCAGCGGTAGTGACTCGGTATTGATTGTTCATCAGCAGCTGTACTGACTCTTGGATTGATTGTTAACCAGCAGCAGTACCGACTCTGGTATTGATTGTCCACTAGCAGCGAAACTGACTCTTGGATTGATTGTTCACCAGCAGCAGTACTGACTCTGGTATTGATTGTCCACTAACAGCGGAACTGACTCAGCACCAAAATTATATGGTTTTCTGTGAGAACAATTATTGTGTCTGCACTGTCTGTGTCTTGCATTTTTATCAGGTATGCTCGTGAGATAAGTTTCGAAAGCAAAACTATTTTAACTAGTGCACTGTTTTTATTAATTGTTTCTTTTAAGGTATAAAATCTATATAAAAAAATCGATATTCAGATGTAGTTGAACAAATTCTAAATACATACAATATTCAATAAAAAATCATACGTTACTAATACGTATTACTTGTCCTTTAATGTAATTGAACATTGACATATACAATTATAAAAAAATTAAAGTAACATGCACAAAAGAAAGACGGTTTTATTATATGTTTAAGATATTATTTTTTGTAAGACTATCTTATTATGTAATGCAGGGTTCATTTGATTTTAAATTTGAAACTACATTTCATGATATTGGGTTAGCATTCATGCTTTTAAAGCAATTAAATGGTTTTGTGTTTCTAAAGTAATTTATTTTACAGAGTATTAATTGAGAATATTTCATATCTAATGTCAGAAGTATCCTCGATTTACATAATCTCGACTCCTTGTATTAATAAGTCAATCTGCGTGACAGTTTGAAATACTTCTTAAGTGAAGTATCAATTATCGTAGAGTTCTAGGAAGATACTCCGTTATTACATTTCTGTAATTTACCAGATAATCTTATTTACTCTGTTGATGAACATGCAGTTTTTATATTTATTCGAAACAGATTGTAATTTGTTAATTAAATTCTTGTGAATCTTTAAATATGTTTGGATGATTGATATATATGACGATTAGTGTGGGGGTATTTAAAGAAGGAAGAGAATCGATACGTAACATAATTCAGAATGAACGGCACGAATAATACCACCGTAACGGATTGTCATCACTTCGATCTTTTATGTTTGGACAGACATAATAAAACTGACCAAGCATTCCAAATTCTAATGAAATATATTTTTCCGAATTTTTATGAATGGATTTATATTGCGTTATTTAGCCTAGTTTTTATATTTGGTTTAATTGGTAACATTCTCGTGTTTTACGCTGTATGGAGTAATGTTCACTTGCGGAATACGACAAACTTTTTCTTGGTCAATTTGTCCATAGCTGATTTTTTGGTACTACTTGTATGTTTGCCACCAACCGTTATACATGATATTGCTCAGACATGGTTCCTTGGGGAGACAATGTGTAAGATTGTTACATATTTACAGGTAGGTGTTTTGTCTTAAAAATTTATCAAAACCTACGTAATGTATGAAAATAACTCTCTCTCTCTCTCTCTCTCTCTCTCTCTCTCTCTCTCTCTCTCTCTCACAATTGTTACATATCAACAGGTAGTAGTTATTGTGTTAAAACAAGTTATATCTTTCTCTGCGAGAAAGAATAAATAATACTTTGCTACTTTTTAATTAAAAATCTCTACTTTTCGTTCTTAACGTATAGATTTTATTCTAAAGTATTTTTGACAACAGATGGCAACAAAAGAGTACATAAATTTCTTTTCACAACCTGTCTATGTTACGGAAATGATTTTTATCTATACATTTGTATATCTTTCTTTAGTAATGGACTACATTTTTATAACAATAATAACTTGTACAAATCTTATTATATCGAGATAGGAATAGATACGATCGTCATGGAAAGGTTGTCTTATTAGTGACTTATAAGGGGGTATAAAAACATATATTGGTCCATGAAACAAAATCGTATTTAGCCCCAGGAGAGTTTTTTACATGGGCCCAATGTATCACCGTTTACGTCCTGTGAGTATTTAAAAACTAATTTAACTCTCTGATTGTGGTTTGGCCATGTTTTGATTTTTGCTGAATTAATACGACAGTGATTCGTATATTTTTGTTCTGCTGTTACATGTATATTTAGAAAAGCTGAATTGGTTTTACTGTAATAAACGTTTATTTTTGGAAATGCTGAATTGGTTAGTTAATTTCATTTGCTTAAATATGCAAAAGAGAAAGTTGAATTTGTTCTACTAATATATGTATATTTTGGAAAGGTGAATTGGTTTTACTGTAATACGTTTATTTTGGGAAATCTGAATTGGTTCTACTGTTACAAATATATTTGAAAAAGCTTAAAAAGTTTACAACTCTTCAAAGTGAATTATCTGTTTTACCTCGTGAATATAATTAGTATTTTGGCGCATTCTTTAATTAGAACTTTAAAGACTTGTGAAGTACTGTCACGTGTTCTTTCAAGGGTTCCACGTTGTAAGTTGTCATATAAAATAAACAATCATTGGTTGCTGGCACGATGTTAGAACTGGTTCATTATTAGTGAAGCCGGTTTCTCGAGTGTATTAAAAAACGAAATAAATTCAGATGAATTTTTCGAATCCGATTTCATTTTTTTTTTTTATATAAATAAATAAATACTTCTTCTGATAGTAATAATTTAGAATACAATACATTATTATATTGGGAATAATAATGATTATATAAATGAATATTAAGATAGAAAAAGATCGTCACATCTTTGATGAAAATTTTCAACTCGTATAAAATAAGCCACTTGTTATTGTTATGTATGATTCCTCTACTGTTTGGAGAACTGTAGTGCGGGATAAATATATATACGGCACTTCATAAAATACTATGCACTGTCAAACTTTACTTGAAATCTAAAAAAGTCTATATATACACTAAGAGTTGGATGGTCCATACTGTTTTTCAATCACTCAATCAAAAAATGATGATAAATGTCAATGACTAGCAAGTTCTACTACTAAGGTATAGGTATGTCCAAGAGTTCTTTATACCTATCAATAATCCCGTTTGTCTCTTGTCGTACATGTCGTATAGAGAAATCAAATTAGTCAATGAAACACTTTCCATGAGAACATTCAATTTTACATGAAATATTTTGGAAGGAAAAGACATAATCTCAAGACTCGAAACTGCCGTTTTTGAGCATATTTTTAATATTAAAGCTATTTCAATTTGCAATATCCTCAAATGCAAAATGGTATGAATAAGATGTAATAGGTACCACAATGAGATATCAATAATACAAAAGACATCGCTCTACCTTCCTGGTCACCTTAAATATTTGTTTTGGAAATATAAAAAGGATGATGTGGTAAGATTGTCAATTAGACTTCTATATGGCAAAGATATGAAAAATAACAAGTCACCATACGGGTACCGGTTATATTACTCACATACCTGTAGTCGATTTTATATATTCTCTAACAATAAAAACTTCCTTGAATTAGATATGTTGTACAATAACATTAACTTTTGTTCATTTGACCTTGGCCTATATAATTTTCGTGTTATAACAATACTATGGGAGTATCCATTTACTTGGAAGTCTGTACCCATTCACTAACATGCTTATAATGCATAAAATTATACAATTTTTCTTCAACACATTTTTACATGCGTGTGTGGATGAAAGTTATTACAGAAAGTCTTTTGGACAAAAACACATGTTCTGTGTACCAATATATGCCATATGCATATTGAATAAGTTTGATAAAAACACATTAAGTGAATAAACACAATTATTACAGACACACAGTATTTATTCCTCTATAAGTTGTAACATCAAAAGTTGTACTTTTGATATGGGGAAACATGCATGTTTCTGTATGTTTTCTGCTGCAATGGTATATTTTTACATAAAATGTTTCATTACTGCATGATTTTCTACCTCATTTAGAATTCTATCAGGAAGAAACTGATATTTCATGTATGATTTGATTTTTTCTTTGATTTTTATTATGATATAACAACATTTCAGTTTGATTATAAATTTTATAACATTAAATTACTTGCATCGAATGTCAGGGCTGTGTTTGTTAGGTGAAGCCAATTAATCGTCAAATAAACCATGTTAGATATTTGGATATCAAATAATATTGACATTCGATAGGTTTAAATGTTTGGAGAAGTTCTAAAAAAGAGCAACTATTTCACTGTCAACTTTATATATAATCAATGTACTGACCGGGCATGATGGCCATATATTTTTTCTCAGGAGAAAACAATAACCATTGTTATATGGTTGAGTTTTCACACATTCAGCTGGTAATTTAAGTACAATGTATTATACAGGTCTCATTAATTCACTTTTTTTACTCTGGCCATGCCTCTTACTTTGTATTTAATATGCTTCTTACACTTGTAAAGTGATGGTTAGCTTGGTGTCAGCGTTCAGTAAGAATACGTTTATAGATATTTAGTGGTTTTTCTGAAGTACGTCTATATTTCAATTTAGACAGAAGTTGATTAAATTTGTGATTTGATGTCTTCGAAGCCATTGGAAATTTTGAAAAGTCTTAATTACAAAGTTTTGCTATTACGTTTCAAGATTCTTGTCAAAAGAATGTTGATAAAAGTCCATTTCACATTGCCTTCAGCTTACAATCATGAAAACTTTGAATTATCTTCATTAAGAAGTAAGACTTCCAGGTCATGCTGAGATAATCAAATCAAATCAACAATTAAGGTATTACTACATTAAATGTCATTTAAATATTGATTCCGAAGGGAATTAGAACGCATCTGATTCTTACCACAATGATAATTATTTAACAACATTGTCTTGTTACTTGCACTGCTTGTTAACGTCATCTATTGTTGCCTGTCTCAGTATGATAGACGCTTTGGTAACATTACATCCATTAAAACTACAAATATTCCATAAATATATTATTTCTCTTTAGAGATTCATGTCTCTTTCTCGGCGACCTGTAGAAATCGAATGTAATTGTAGATTTGTACTGAACTGAAAGCAGAGTTTAGATGCTGTCTGGTTCAGTTTGAAGTTTGGCTCAGAACAAAAGAAAAAATATGTTTAAGGTTCAACTACGACAATGAAAGGAAGAGAAAACGGCAACTACAAATTTCGTGTTGATTTTTATTGCAATGTGCGATGTAACCCTTTTAGAGTCTTAACCAATCATGTTGACTTGTTCCTATTTGCTAGAATAAAACTAAAAAAGTATTATGTGATGTAAGTTTGAACAATGCTTGCATTGAATCGCAAACTAATATACAATACAAACTAACAAAACAAAACATAACATTATTGGTATTAATATTGATTTTGTTATCAGTAAATTAAAACCATACTAAATATTACACATATGTACTTTCACGGTACTACAATCTGTCGATACCTATATTTTGGCATTGCACAAGGTTATGATTTTCTCTGATTGTTATGACGTCTTTACAATAAATCCATTTGATGTTGGATGTCTACTGATCGATATTTTAGTCTTAGATACATGATTTTTTTTAATTAGTTGTTATTGGCTTTGAACTAGCTGTCAGTAACTGCGAGTACTCTCAGATCTGTACTTAGTGTCTTTTTTGTTGTTAGGGATGAGGGATAGATATATACCCTGCCACGTCCTGATCTGATGAGTTAAGCCTTTTTCAACTGATTTTCATAGTTTGTTCTTATGTTGTGCTGTTTCACCACTGTCCAAGGTTAGCGGAGGGAAGAGCGTTCACAAACATATTTAACCCTGCCACATTCATTATGTGCCTGTCCCAAGCCAGGATCCTGTAATTCAGTGGTTGTCGTTCATGTCTGTCATAATTGCTTTTCGTAAATTCTTTTGTTAGAAATTAGGCCGTTAGTTTTCTCAATTGAATTGTTTCATATTTTTCATGTCGGGGCTTTTTATAGCCGACTATACGGTATGGGGTTTTTTCTCGTTGTTGAAGGCCGTACGGTTGCCTATAGTTGCTTACATCCACTTCATTTTAACTTTAGTTAATAGTTGTCTCATTGGCAATCATACCACATCTCCTTATTTTTATAACATGGTCATATATATATGTTATATAAAAAATATGTACTAACAGGTATACCAAGGTTACTTCAATAATTCAACTATTTTGACGAATAAAATAAAGTTTACCTGTAAATGACTGGACTGATTTGAAATTTGACGATTTTTGAAGATTGTTTTCATAAAGTTTAAATAGATTTTCCTTAAGACTCGAAGACAACAATGAGAGTATTTTGTTCTGAAAATCCGATTTCAAGGTCGATACGAGAAAGAAATACTAGCTGCTTTAACTCAAGTGTTATTCAATCAGCTTATGCCGAACGACAGCTTTAATACAATAAAATGTTGACAAATCCTTAGTGCTGATTGTTGTATACCTCTACTTATACTACAAAACAATTAACTAGAAGATACTCTCAAGTTCATTACACGCCACTCAAA